CTATACAAGTATTTCACCATGATATACTTAGGAATAATTTTCTTTTAATCTGTTCTACTCAGCCTTTACGTAGGTTTTTGTTTTGTTTTGTTTTGTTTTTACAAAAGTCAAATCGATTGAGGCTTACTTTAGAGGCAGTAAGCATCACCCATTTAGAACGGCCTCTGTGCACCTGCAGGACACTGGCACTCTGGTGTTAGCAACACCACACACCCCTTGCAGCCCCTCTCCTACCATTATCCCCAGCCTCTATTTTCTGTCCCTACAGTTTTGCTTTTTCCAGAATGTCATGTAGTCAGAATCATACTCATAGTCTTTTGATTCTGACTTTTTTCACTCAACACAATGCATTTGAGCCATTTGTTCTGCAGCATGTAATAGTCGATCATTCTTATTTCCTGCAGAGTGTATCCATGTGCTCGTTAAGCCCCATTGTCCACCTCCCATGAAGGCACGCACACCTTCATGGAATCCCCTCCCACTGAGTGTGGGCTGGATTTATCGACTCAATAGACTGTGCAGAGTGTTGTCCCTTCCAAAGTTAGCTTATGTAAAGACTGGGCTCCCACCCTGGTGCTCTCTCTTGAATTGTTTGCTATGGGGGAAGCCAGCTGCCTTGCTGAAGCCACCCTTTGGGGAGGGCCATGTGAGTGCACTTGGGTGTGACTTTTCTGAGGCCTGCCAAAAGCCATGGGATTGACCTTGAAAATAGCGATCCTTCAGACGAGCCTCAAGGTGACTGCAGTTTTGGCTGAGAGCTTTACTGCCACTTCCTGAAGGACCTGAGACCAAAAGCATTCTCCAAGCCACATCCAGCTTCCTGACCCACAGAAACTAAAAAAAAATAACAACCATTTGTTGCATTAAGCCTTTACATTGTTGGGGTAATTTGTTGCACAGAAATGAATAATATAATGCNCTTCCTGTATCTCTGAGCATTCTGTGTATGTCAATGTTTAATACTTTTAGTTTTTTTTTAAATAAAATATACTTAACTTCTCTTTGTTTCTACAGGAAATTTTTTGTTATTTATAAAATTGTGGATTAGCAAATATTTTATTTGAGTGTGATAAACACGTCATTCCATTGCCTCCGGACTTCAATTGCTGGTCCTTTGAAGGTAATATGTCTTTTTGTTTGTTTGTTTGTTTGTTTGTTTTTTGTTTTTCCTCTGGCTGCTTCTAAGGTTCATGCTTGGTCTTTATTTTACTATACAAGTATTTCACCATGATATACTTAGGAATAATTTTCTTTTAATCTGTTCTACTCAGCCTTTACGTAGGTTTTTGTTTTGTTTTGTTTTGTTTTTACAAAAGTCAAATCGATTGAGGCTTACTTTAGAGGCAGTAAGCATCACCCATTTAGAACGGCCTCTGTGCACCTGCAGGACACTGGCACTCTGGTGTGTTAGCAACACCACACACCCCTTGCAGCCCCTCTCCTACCATTATCCCCAGCCTCTATTTTCTGTCCCTACAGTTTTGCTTTTTCCAGAATGTCATGTAGTCAGAATCATACTCATAGTCTTTTGATTCTGACTTTTTTCACTCAACACAATGCATTTGAGCCATTTGTTCTGCAGCATGTAATAGTCGATCATTCTTATCGTCCACCTCCCATGAAGGCACACACACCTTCATGGAATCCCCTCCCACTGAGTGTGGGCTGGATTTACCGACTCAATAGACTGTGCAGAGTGTTGTCCCTTCCAAGATTAGCTTATGTAAAGACTGAGCTCCCACCCTGGTGCTCTCTCTTGAATTGTTTGCTATGGGGGAAGCCAGCTGCCTTGCTGAAGCCACCCTTTGGAGAGGGCCATGTGAGTGCACTTGGGTGTGACTTTTCTGAGGCCTGCCCAAAGCCATGGGATTGACCTTGAAAATAGTGATCCTTCAGACGAGCCTCAAGGTGACTGCAGTTTTGGCTGAGAGCTTTACTGTCACTTCCTGAAGGACCTGAGACCAAAAGCATTCTCCAAGCCACATCCAGCTTCCTGACCCACAGAAACTAAAAAAAATAACAACCATTGGTTGCATTAAGCCTTTACATTGTTGGGGTAATTTGTTGCACAGAAATGAATAATATAATGCAGTTAGCAGCTGAAGGACTTTTGACATGCTTCCAGTTTTATGTGACTGTGAATAGTTACCATGAGCATTTACATACAGGTGCCGTGTGGACACTGTCTTCATTTCTCTTGGGTAGATATCTAGGAGTAGGATTGCTGGGTCATATGGAAAGTGTATGTTGAACTTTATAAGACACTGCCAACTAAATCCGTTTCTTGACACTTTTGTTGGTGTTGGAAAATTCCCTAACATTCTCACCAAATCGCTTTCTGCCCATGTACTGTCTCCTCTTTGGCTGGGATTCCAATAACCCTGCTTACCGTGTCCTTTAAGTCTTTACCCATTTTCTGGAAGTTTCACTCTTTTCTTTTGCTTCAATTTGTTTCATTCTGGAGATTTTCTGATTTTCCTTCCACTTTCCCAGTAGTTTTTTTGTTTTTGTTTAGTTTTAAACAACTGTTTCTAATTAAATTTAACTTCATCTTCTATTGTACTCCATTTCATTACTATATTTTTTAATTTCAGAATTTCTATTTGACAGTATTTTATGGCTTCCCATTTCTGCTGAAATTCTCTTTCTTTTATCTTTTTGGGTAGAGGAAACATACTTATTTTAAGGAATATGTCTTTGAACTCCAATCTTTTGAGCCCCTGTGGATATACTGCAATTTACTGCTATTTCTTCTGATTTCTGATTTCTGGCTTCTGATTTCTCTTCTTATTTTGTGTGCTCCTGTGTCTCATTATTTCTGATTGTGTGTTGAACTCTGTGTTTGAAAACTGGTTTGTAAGAAAATTTTGAAGTCTGAT